AGCACCAAGCAAAAACAGAACAGGACAGACAAGATCTCTTCCTACTGTGAATTTTACAGTGGAGGAAGCAAAAGAAAAATGTAGGGGTGCCTGGGTGGCTCATTTGGTTAATCGTCTGCCTTTGGCTCAGATGATGATCCCAGGACATTGGGCTCCCCTGCTTCTCCCTCTCATTTTCCCCCTAACCCTCCTCCTGCTTGTGCATGTGCACTCTCTGTCAAATAAATAAATAAAATCTTTAAGGAAAAAAAAAGAAAACTGTATGTAAGCACATATTTTTAAGTGTAAAATTTGTGCTAGTGAAGTACTGGTACTGAGAGAATAGCTTGTAGGAGCCTGATTTGGTTAGGATGGTCTGGACAAGAGGTGACATTTAAGGTATGATCTGAAGGATGAGACAGTTAGCTATACAAAGAGAGAAAATGGGAAGAAGAAGGGCGCTGGCCAAAGGGAACAGTACCTACAAAAGTACAGAGACAGGAATGAGCTTGCTGTGGTGAGCAAGACAGAATGGCAAGAGATAAGATTGGAGAAGTAGAGGGGGCCAGAGCAACAAGAGTCTTGTAAGGCATTGTAAGGAGCTAATAAGCCTTGGGAAGCACTTGAAGAGTTGTAAAGAGAGGAGTAATTTGATCCAATTCATGCTTTAAGATGAATTCGTTAAAAAAAAAAAAATCCAGGGTGCCTGGCTGGCTCAGTGGGTGGAGCATGCGACTCTTAATCTTGGGGTCATGACTTTGAGCCCCACATTGGGCCTAAAGCTTACTTAAAAAACAAAACAAAACAAAAAACAACAGCTGTGATGGTCACTGATTGTAGGGAGAAGAATGGAGTTGTTGCAGTAAACCAGACCAGAGATGTCAGTAACCTGAAGTGAGGTTTGTTATAGTGGAAAGAGAAGTAATCCAAGTTAAAATTTTGGACTTTGATATCTCCTTTATTTTTGCTACTAACATGCCATCAATCATGAAATCTTATAGGTTTCAATGTTTACAGTTTCTCACACACAACTCTGTGTTTCTCAGTTCCCACTGACCCAACCCAGGCCTCTCTTCCCTCTCACCTGCATGAGTGGAGCGGCCCCATTCCTGACCTCGGTTTTCAGGCAAACTGTTCCAGGTCAACCCACATACTGCTGCCAGAGCAAACTTTCAAAAACAATACTGAATGTGTTCCTGCTCTACTGGAAACCCATAAAGTGCTCTACAGTTTGGGAGCCAAGGTCCCAAATAGTCCACTTCAAATCTACCCAGTCAAATCATACTTGCCTGGTGCTTTGCAAATCTCTCTTCCTTTTTGTATGTTATTCTCTCTTACATCATCCCTCTGGACATTAATCCCCATTTTACATACACAGAAACACTAAGTGGCTGGTGACTTTAGAAGCATAGTCTTATCTCTTATATTCTATTAAAAATGCATCCATTAAAATTCATAGTTTGGGGCACCTGGGTAGCTCAGTGGTTGAGTGCCTTCAGCTCAAGTTGTGATCCCAGGGTCCTGGGACCAAGTCCTGCATCAAGCTCCTCATGGGGAGCCTGCTTCTTCCTCCGCCTATATCTCTGCCTCGCTCTGTGTGTCTCTCATGAACAAATAAAATCTTAATTAAAAAAAACCATAGTTTAGAATACTTAATTATATGGTAAATTGTCTGTAATAAATGTTTTTAATTTTAACCATTTTATAAAACTGTATAGTCTGATTATAATCTTATAAAAGTGGTTTAATCTGTGAGGTAAGACTGGGGTGATTTTTGTTTGCATGATGTATTTTCTGGATTTTTAGAATTCATACTTTTATAACAACAATTACCAAAAAAGAATGTGGAGAAATATGCTATGTAGCCTTTAAGGCTCTCCTCAAACATGGCATCACCATCCGTTTCACTCCCTCACCGCCACCACCATTTTGTACATTATCATCCCCTCTCTCCCTACCTTCTTTGAGAGTTAGGTGTGACCCAACATACTTCCCTGCCAAATGGAAAGGTCCTTGAGTAAAGACATTCACTGTCTTGCTTATTGTCACACTCCCTTATTGCTAGCCATTTTATAATTTGTTGCTGAAGCCAGCAAGTATTTAGATTTTTTAAAGGCTGACTAAAATGCCAGCAATACCAGGAAAGAAAGAGCTACAATTTTTAGGAGTCCAATGAAGTGCCTTTGATTACTTAAATGTGTTTGTTAAACCCGTTGACCTTAGGGTTGCCTGGGTGGCTCTATTTGTTGAGTATCAAAGTCTTGATTTTTGGTCAGATCCTGATCCCAGAGTCATGGGATTGAGCCCTGCATCAGGCTCCACACTGAGCATGGAGCCTACGGGATTCTCTCTCTCCTCCCTCTGCCCCACCCGACTTATGCACTCTGTCTAAAATTAAAACAAAACAAAAACTGTTAACCTTAAAAATAAAACTGTCAGTTATCTTACTGGGGGGAAAAAAAAGTTTATTCTGAAATAGCAGAGAATTGCATTTCCAAAGACACAAGCTAGGGCTTTGAAAGTCTAGAGGATAAATGAGAGGACCACTCTTTATAGAGGAATGGCAAAGTTGAGAGATATTTGTTATTAACAAAAAGCCCATTGAAACAAACCGAGAGTTTTAATGTAGTAGTTTTTCATTGGCTGAGTTGTGACAGTCTCTCATTGGCTGGGCTGTTGCTGAACAAAGAAATTCTTTCCTCCCGCTACCACAATACAATAGAATCTTTTTCCTACGGGGAATGCAAGGTAAATCTCTTCCTATTGGGATCTGCCAATAGGAGTCTTCCTATGGATGGTAATAGGAATCTTCCTATGGATCTTCCTATGGAGGAAGAGTGGTAGGGTTATGAGAGCTCCTACTTCTGGCTCCTGACTCTATTTTACTTTACTTTATATATGTATTTTTAAGATATATATATATATATTTAATATTTTGTTTATTTATTCATAAGACACACATACAGAGAGAGAGAGAGAGAGAGAGAGGGAGGCAGAGACACAGGCCGAGGAAGAAGCAGGCTCCATGCAGGGAGCCCGATGTGGGACTCGATCCTGGGTCTCCAGGATCACACCCTGAGCCGAAGGCAGCGCTAAACTGCTGAGCCACCCGGGCTCCCCGATTTATTTATTTATTTAAGTAATCTCTATACCCAACATGGGGCTTCAACACATGATCCGAAGACCAAGAGTTGAGTCCTCCACAGACTGAGCCAGCCAGGTGCCCTTCCTGACTCCATTTTAAATGAGATTTCCTCATCAATTTTAACAAATCGAACTAAACTCAAGAGTAGATAAGTGGGAAAGGAGAGCAGAGGGGAACCCAGATGGAAAAACAAGTTCCTCTAGCTCAGATCAATGGACTCTAGGGAAATTCTTCAATATCTCTCCTTTTTTAAATATTTTATTTATTTGACACACAGAGAGAGTACAAGCGGGGGAGCTCAGGCAAGGAGAGAGAGGGAGAGGCAGATGCTCACTGAGTGGAGAGCCCAATGCAGGACTCAATCCTAGGACCCCAGAATCATGACCTGAGCTACAGGCAGACACTTAACTGACTAAGCCACCCAGGGGCCCAATTCTTTAATCTCTTGAGAACAAAAATGTACCTAGGAGTTTTTCATTTATGAATGGATCACTTATTCATATGAACTGATCACCTATTGTTTGCCAAGCACTGGAAACAGGTTTAAGAGAGGAATAAGCAGATATGGTTCCTCACCTTAGGAAGCTTACAGAATGTCTGTTGGGGGAGACTTTACACAAATACATATTTACTTGGGCAATTATAAGGTAACTTGAATGATAATAGGCTAATTGTATGGTTGCTGGGAAAACCATATGGGGAGGCAGGTTGTTTTTGTTCTTTTTTAAAAGATATTATTTATTTGACAGAAAGAGAGAGAGACAGAACACAACAGGCAGAGGGAGAGAGAGAAGCAGGTTCCCAGCCAAGCAAGGAGCCCAATGTGAGGCTCCATCCCAGGACCCTGGGATCATGACCCGAGCTGAAGGCAGATGCTTAACTGAGCCACCCATATGACCTGAGATTTTTGGGTTTGGGTTTTTTTTTTTTTTTTAAGATTTTATTTATTTATTTATTTGAGAGAGAGAGTGGGAGGGGGTGGTTGTGCAAGAGGAATAGAGGGGGAGGGAAAGAATCTCAAGCTGACTCCCCACTAAGCATGAAACCCTCTGTGGGGCTGATCTCAAAACACTGAAATTATGACCTGAGGGGAAATCAAGAGTGGGAAGCAAAATGGACTGAGCCACACAGACATTCCTAGGAGGGAGGTTTTGATGAGAGAGGGCTATCCGTGTTGAAATCTGAAGAGTGGGTATGACATAGAGAGATGGAGAGGAGAGGTGTAGAAAATTTGTTCTGGCAGAAGAAATGGCAAATGTGAAGGGAAGACACTAGGCTAAGGCATTTCCTGAGGCTGCATTAGAAAGGGGGAGATTCAGCTTGAGCAAGTTATATAGGTTTTTATTCTATGGAATAACCTATTCCTTAACCCCCAAACAGCTCCTCCTCTGTCCCCATTACCTAGAAACCTGACTTAAAGCAATTTGGAGAGCATCACACTTCCATTCAAGGCACCCAACTATCCTTATTTAAACACATTTAAGGAAGGTAACATGAATCCATTAGTAGAGAAGAGCAGAATCAAGACAGTCTTGTTTAGCTCAAAACCTAGCATCTAACACGTTATCTAGCACATAATTACGTTTTGTAAGTTGTGAATTCAAGAAACAGGTGTACTTTAAAATATATATAGATTTTTAAATGTAGTATTTTTAAGAACAGATGTCATGGATAATGTTCCCAAGCTACGGACCCGCGTTCCCTTCTCTGCCCAGGCCCTCGGGCCCCTGCAGGCCTTTGGGGGCGGGGGGGGGGGGGACGTGGGGAGACCAGGTTGCTGGAAGGCTGCGGCGGCACTGGCGGCGGAACCGCGAGGAGGCGGAACTTTAGGCTCGTGGAACTGTGGCCCTGCGGACCATTGCGAGGGAGGCACAGCCCCGGCCCGGAAGTCGCTGACGGGAGCTGGTGCTTCGGCAGCCATCGCGCTTTGCAGTTCGGTCTAGGAGGGTGTAGGGCAGACGCCAGGCGAGGAATTGCGACCTCTCCGTTCGCTGGTGAGTGGTAGTCTCTTCCGCCGGTGGAACCGGCAGGCGGCAGCTGTGGGTCCCAGGGAAGGTGTCTCTTTCGGGCCTGAGCCCATCGGGGCCCCTGCTGGTGGCCAGGCGAAAAGGGGTCTCTGTTTTCGTGTCCGGAATCGGGCGGCACTCGAGCGGAACGGGTTCCTTTCCTGCTCTGCGGTGGTCGCGCTCAGAGTCCTCTGGATAGGACACCTGCTTCTGTCAGACGGTGGCATTGCAGGAAAGGACGGGATGACTTTAAGCTGCACACGAGCCCTTCCTTCCCTTCGTCCTCAGTTTACTCACCTGGTCAGGTGAAGGTGCAGGGGACAGGTGACAGCTCGAGAGCCCGTGACGCGGTGTTTTCGGTTCTCCTCATTAGTTTGGGGGCAAAGTGAGCTCCCTGACTAGTACGAGTTAGCGTCCGCCCATAGCCCAAGGCCAGCAGAGTGGGGGAACAGATAAACTGTCGGGGGGAAACTAATGATTCCTGAATTTATCCAAGATTTTTGAACAACATAGAAATTTGTTTTGACAACGGCTGAAACTCTGACCTCATTGACCGAAAGAACCAAACTCATTAGGAACGTAAGGTATTTGGTACATTGGGCAAAACAGTGAGGGAATTTTTTTTTTTTTAAGATTTTATTTAGGGCAGCCCGTGTGGCTCAGCGGTTTAGCACCGCCTTCAGCCCAGGGCCTGATCCTGGAGACCTGGGATCGAGTCCCGCGTTGGCTCCCTGCGTGGAGCCTGCTTCTCCCTCTGCTGTGTCTCTGCCCCCCTCTCTCTCTCTCTCTCTCTCTCTCTCTCGAATAGACAAATAAAATCTTTAAAAAAAACTTATTTTTTTTTCATGAGAGACACAGGCAGTGACCTAGGCAGAGGGAGAAGCAGGCTCCCCGCAGGCAGCCAGATGTGGGACTCGATTCCAGGACCCCGGGATCACGCCCTGAGCCAAAGGCAGACTCTCAACCACTGAGCTGCCCAGGTATCCCTGAAGGAATACTTTTAACTTGAAAAATTAAACCTAGTATTATTTGCATATTCATCTGTCAAGCTCAGTGTTACCCCGTATCTTACTCTAAATAATATCCTAGGTTCAGTGTTAAAATTCCAGTGAAGAGTATGAAAGTAAACATTTACTGACTGTCTCCTTTCTGTGAGGTACTAGCCATTCGCACAACAATCCACTAAGGAAGGTAATGGTATCCTCTCTATTTTACAGGTGAGGAATAAGGAAAAATTACAATTTGTCAATAATTAGTGGTGCAGACATAACACAGAAGCAGGATTTATATTCATTACTAAAATATCTTGAACTTTAAAAATTAATGTTATAGTTCAATGGCATTTTATGAGTTTGCAGAAGAGCAATGTTTTGCTTTTATTTTAGAAATGTTAGAGAAGGGATCCCTGGGTGGCGCAGCGGTTTGGCGCCTGCCTTTGGCCCAGGGCGTGATCCTGGAGACCCGGGATCGAATCCCATATCGGGCTCCCGGTGCATGGAGCCTGCTTCTCCCTCTGCCTGTGTCTCTGCCTGTGTCTCTGCCTCTCTCTCTCTCTCTCTCTCTGTGACTATCATAAATAAATAAATTTAAAAAAAAAAAAACTCTTAAAAAAAAAAAAAAAAAGAAATGTTAGAGAAGGGGCACCTGGGTGGCTAACTTGGTTAAGCCTCTGTCGTCTGCTCAGGTCCTGATCCTAGGATCCTGGTATCCAGTCCTGCATCAGCAGCCCCCCACCCCAGCCCTGGAGCCTGCTTCTCTCTCTCCCTCTGTCTCCTCCCCTCTGCTCATGCTCTCTGTTTCCCAAATAAATAAAATCTGAAAGAAAAAAAAGAAATTTTAGAGAAGCATTGTTAGTAATTACAAAGATTAGCAGTTGAAAAAAGTACATTTTAACTATCCTTTCCTTGCACTTGAAGCAGGAATTGAGACAAGAGATTAGGCTATCAGAAATGAAAATCACTGCCACATTATTTGAAGCTTATAAATCAGAATTCTGTAGTAATGATTCATTAGTTCTCCACCCTCTTCTTTAAGTATACTTGGTTGATACTCATTTAAATGATTTCTCTGCAAAACATTACTAAGCAAATACCTTTAAAATCACGTGTTTGAAAATATTCTCTTGAAAGTGATGAACCACTAAATTCTTCTCCTGAAACCCAGATTGCACTCTGTTAAATACCTAGAATTTAAATAAAAATTTGAAAAGAAAAAGGAAACTTTCTCTCTCTTGTGTAGAGCTTTTAGAACAGTTTCAATTAAGAGTATTTTAAGGGGGCGCCCTGGCTGGCCCAGTTGGTGGGGTATGCTACTCTTGATCTTGGGGTTATGAGTTTAAGGCCCACACTGGGCCTAGAGCTTTTTAAAAAAAGTATTTTAAGGATGGAATTTGACACTGCTTATATCTATACATTCATTTTCTTAATTCAGTATAGGCAAATTCAATCCTCAGACTTAAAACTTTATTCATAGTGTTCTTTCCTCGTTTTCTCACTCTTAAAAAAATCCTATATATGTCACAGATTTAACCTTTCTTTTTTTTTTTAAACCTTTCAATTGAATGTCACTTTTCCCCAAAAGAAACTTGCGTTTGTACTTTTTGTTGATTAAATGGAACCAAAGGTATAATTCCATTACTATGATTGCCATGCATTCAGTCATAAAAATGTTTTTTTGAGTTTTGTATTTGCATCACTGTTTCAAAACTTAAGGACAGTAGAAAGAAAATCTAACAGTTCTACTGAAGAGTATTTATAAGGCAGAATTGTCTTGAAACATTCAACATTGTTACTCTCCATCCTTAGTAATGCACAGGGCCTTGCTGAAATTTTATAAAACATGGTCAAGCAAAGCTTGGCATTGTATTTCTAGTACTATTCGAATTTTATATAAATAAAGTTTGGGGTTTGAATTTCAATTTAGTTGGAATGCCACCTTATATTGTGTAGTATTCAAAATGTCTTCAGGTACATTATCATAATTGATCAATCTTAAAACTGTGAGGCCGATAGTATTCCCATTATAAGTAAGAAGAAATTGGAGCTCAGAAAGATTAGTTTTCCCAGAGTAATAGTACCTCAAAAGATGCATATTAAATCCAGATTTTTATTTTTTTAAGGTTTTTTATTTTCACTTTTTTAAAAGATTATATTTATTTATTCATGAGAGACACAAAGAGAGAGGCAAAGACATAGAGGGAGAAGCAGGCTCCACGCAGGGAGCCCCATGCAGAACTAGGACCTGAGATCACCACCCGAGCTGAAGGCAGACGCTCTGCCACTGAGCTACCCAGGCATCCCTAAATCCAATTTTTTTTTAAAGATTTTATTTATTTATTTATGAGACACAGAGAGAGAGGCAGAGAGAGAAGCAGGTTCCATGCACGGAGCCCGATGTGGGACTTGATCCCGAATCCTGGGATCACTCCTTGAGCCAAAGGCAGATACTCAACCGTTGAGCCACCCAGGTGTCCCTAGATCCAGATTTTTAAATTCTTAGGATAAGTACTTACTTTCCCCATAGCTCTACCACCCTTTGCTTCCTGAAGTTAATAATGTATTATTTCTACAGTGCTACTCTGGTATTATATTTGCCTTTTTAGATTATTGGAGCTTTTATTTTCATTTATATTTTAATAATAGCTTTCTTGAAAGATAGTTCACATTCCATAAAATTTATCCTCTTAAAGTATACAATTCAGTGTTTTTGGTATATTCACAATGTTATGCAACCATCACCACTTTCTATTCCAGAACATTTTCGTCACCCAGAAAGAAACCCAGTACCTATTAGCAGTCACTCCCAGTTTCCCCTTACCTCCCGTGTCTGACAACCACTAACTGAGAATTTACATGTTCAGGACATTTCATGTAATGGAATTTCATATAAACTTAAACTTTCATTTGAAAGTTTAATGGAAGAAGACTTTAAGAAGTTATTTGTCATCTGAGAGGTTCTGCTCCATTATAATCTTTTGTACTGATTTTCCTGTTACTGGAGTAGATCACTTTTCTAATCTGCATAGCCACTTTTCCTGTTTGTTGTTCATGCAATAAATAAATCTGCTGACGTGTATATGTTTCCTTATTCTTGACCTTTGCTCTTCACATGTCTAATAGTGTATTCATGGTGTTGTGTAACCTGTTCTCAGGGCTCGGATATCTGTTTGTGGCTATGTAACTTTTATTCTTAGTTGGGCATTTTTACTTCTACATTAAAATGATTAATGCTTCCCACCTTGTTTTAAGATTCTTAGAAACCATGGCTTTATAGAAATATAAATATCTCATTATATTCTAAATAAAGTTTCTCTGTATATGTTATTGAATTATTTTTCTAGGGACAAATTTTATAACAGCAAATGTGGACATCTTTATGCAAAAAATCTTTTTTCTTCAAGGCTCTCCCATTCCACTCCTTCAGTCTCACAGCTCTCACCTCCTAAAAATCATCTTCAGTGAGGACTTTTTTTTTTAAGTAAATTCTATCCCCAATGTGAGGTTCGAACTTAAAACTCCGAGATCAAGAATCACATGCTCCCCTGAATAAACCAGCTAGGTACCCCTCCAATGAGGACTTTGTCACTTGATTCAGTATTGCTTCCTCTAGCCCTCCATTCTTCTAGGTAATTCTGCTGTCAACTTGGAGAGTAGACCATATAGCCTGGCTTCCCCTTTCACTCCAGTTTCCTTCAGCTCTCTGTGCCAGACCCAGGCCTTGGAATTGTCATTACCCAGACCTGATCCTCTTGAATTTTTGAACCTTACATTCTCCAGTTTGCTGACACAATTCTGCTCGCCTTTCACTTTTCCCACCCTTTTACTATGACTATGTCTACAGTTGTTTTTCAATAAGATTTTTCCCCCTATTCTCTTCTGTGAGAAGCCTGCCTTTGCTCCCCAGTTTATCCCCACATACTAGCTGCCTTTATACCTTTTTTACACAGCCTGAATTTTTGATCAAATCACTTCAGCCTCTCACTAGTACTC